AATGGAGTATTCACTTATTCATATAAATGTGAACTGAATTAGCACATACTGCAGGAACCAGCACAGTGTAGTAGTTTGGCTGTTAACTAGGGCTCCTTCCACACAGCTGAATAAAATCCCACATTTTCTGCTTTGAAAAGGAATATATGACAGTGTGGACTCAGATAACACAGTTCAAAGTAGATATTGTGGGATTTTCTACCTTGATATTCTGGGTTGTATGGGTGTGTGGAATGGCCCTGGGATTCTGGCACTCAAGGTTCAAATCTCCACTTGGGCATGGAAACCCATTGGGTGACCTTGGGCCAGTCACACACTCTTAGCAAACTCCCTCTGAAGAAATCTTACCTATTAAATTCCATGATAAATTCACCTTAGGGTCACCGTATCAGAAAGAGCTTAAAGGCACACAATAGCGAATCCTAGCTTAAAAAATAGCATACTTGGAGGGGAAATACTGTCATTTTCTGGAAGCATACTACAACAAAAGTTGTTAAGTTAAAGCTATGCTCTGTTACTTCTATGTGACTATTCTTGATCTGAGCAGGAATCTGTGACTATGGATTGTTAATTTAATTGCAGTGTTGTTAAAATGCAAGCCCAACTTGATTTTGGAAACAGAGCATTTCATACCAAAAAAAAAAGTCTCACCAAGATCAGTCTTGCTGGCCATCCACATTTTCACTATGAAGCTTGGCTTTTTAAAATGCCCATGTCTTCTTACAAGATTGAGACTGAGAGAAGGAAACAATCAGGTGGTAGAACTCAGAAAAGGAGAGAGAGAGAGATGTACCAAGTTAAGTAAGTTTGTTGTGTTGAACTGTGCCGAGACATAGAGTAGCTATCAATGTAAATTATTTTGGTGTTTTTTTTTTTTTTAAAAAAGCATGATATATTCAAAACTGTTGCCCCAGTCAATAATCTTTCTAATCTATTCTGGGCCGGTTGAAGTTTCCAGACCATTATCAAAAGCAGATCCATTGCTGGAGAACATGGTAGAGCTTTCTCAAGGCTAGTGTTATCTAGGCAGGTAGGGTTGTAGTGGATATATTTGCCTGAGCAAATACAAGCAACAGCATTTCATTATGTTGAGATTGCCCATGTTGCTTTAAAGGGTGCTGGATTTAGAAGTACCCCAAGACTTTGGGTTTGATCTTTTAAGTGATTACAACCTTCTTAGAAGAGGTTAGAGATCACTCAGCTTGTTCTTTTGATTATAGGAACATAAAGATAGCTGTCTGTTGAAAAGCACAGGATAAATACCTTGGCAGGTGTTTTAGTCATTACATTGTATATGTCAGATTTCCATTTGGGGGAAAAATTAAGGTAACCCAGAGATCAGGAGGAACACGTCACATTTTTGTTATAAAAGACCTGAAGAGTCATTTTTATCAGTGTGCATGTATCAAAAGATGCAAAGGAGATGTATGAGCATGTCTTGAATTCTTAACTGGAAGGCCACTGGGTGTCAGCCATGTCCAGGGCTACTGACTAGTTCAATCAAGCTAAATGGCTTGTAGGAGAAATAAAGCACATTGTGCTGATGTCTCAGAACTTCTGCCAGCAGTGTTGCTTCCTGAGTTGTTGTTCAGAACTAAAAATGCTTGCAGACATTATGGGAGTCTAAAATACTATTTTAGGCATGTTCTAATTACATTTTAAACTTTTAATTTTTTTACTGCTTTGGTAAATAAAAAATTGCAAATATGGTAGTTCTTAGAGCTCTAGCAGAACATGGCATTCTTGGAAGCTGGGTATACAAATGATCCTCCCATGATGATGAGGTTTTTATTTTCCTTGTTGAAAAATAAGTTGATTTGTCACATTTATTAAAGTTAGAAAATAATTTCCTAGAAAATATATTTATAAACATGCAGAGAATTGCTATTCTAAGATTGGATTATAAGAATTATTCATCACAGCTGTAATTACAATCCTATCTACTCAAATAATTTTTATTCGTGATCTCTTTGGTTGCACTGCAAAGAGCTCTTCCACATTGGGAGTGTCTGATTTCATCACTGGCAGCCTGCTCAAAACTTTGTATGGAAAAAAGCAAGATGCATTTAGAAAATCTTCCACCTGAAGAAGCAAGTTTCACATGGTTGAAATCACTGTGCAATGATAGCGCACACATCCATCTAAAACTGAGTAACTGGTTATACCCACCACCCCCTTTGCAGTTCCCACATTCCAAATAGGCACAGAAGCATTCATGATGCAAAACAACAATGATCTTATCTCCTGGCATTTTTCTTTACTTCCAAGCTACTGCAAATAGCTTGGATTTTAACTAGTTTTTTTTCATCTAGATCACATACATCCTAAAACTGCTATTTAAGAGGAATATGTGTTTGTGTGTGTGCATGCATAGATAGATATAGATATAAATTCTCTCCACACACACACATGTTCACAAACTTATATGAGTATTTTTTAAATTAAGAAAGCATTTTTATAAAGAAACAAACATCTGTTTTTATTTTTAAACGTAACTGTATATCATCTTTTCTGAACTGATATGCATTGAGGTTTTTGAAAATTGGATGATAGATCCAGGAAACATATACACTGGCCATTTAATGAAGGGCAATAGCCCAGCGGCAATATTCTGGACTGATCCAGGGAGCAGTTGCACCATCCATTCCCATCCCGCTGCAGTGGTAGAATTGAGTCTATACCATTTAGTCAGGCCAAAACCAGTTTGGCCCCACAGGATGGCCGCCCTTGTATTATCTTTTTTGCCATTACAGCAGCACCCAAGGACCTCCAAAGAGCTGCTGGCCATTTGCTGCCTTTGCCAATATCAGCAATGTTATTCATTCACCTTGAAGCGGGGGGAGTGGGGGAGTACCTTTGCAATCATCCTCCCCTCTTCAAAACCCACAGATGCCTTTGCTTATACCAGTTCCGGATCCACCTCTACAGTGACAACATCCCCCCCTCCCCTAATTTTCTATGCTGTAGAAAGCAGGATGATACCACTGACCCATGTGAATAGCAGGACTAGTTCGCTCTTCACACCACCCTGATTTACAGAGCTGTTTCTAGGTTTCAAGAAGCTCTAGTCTAGAGCATTCCCCGACTTTACTTAATGGGGGACAAAACCATGTTAACTGACTTTACCACATATTGGAAGTGGGGAGGCCCTGTGTGTCATTTGAGTGCTGTGGAATGGCTTCTTACCTATTTAAGGATATGTAGCCCATGTAGACAAGTCCCAAGTCCTCTGGCCACTGTGTCTCATTTGTTTTGGTCCACAGCAATTGATAATTTTTGTGTAATGGAGTGTTAAAAACTATAGTTATAAAATGTTGCAATTATAGCTATAATTTGTAGAAGTAACTCTCACCAAAAATAAGTAAAACAGATTCCCCATTTTAATTGAAAAAGATGATTAAAATTCTATAAGTAATTTTCTAATCATCTAAGTATATAAGTAAGCCATCTTCTACATATTCACCTGAGTATTCAGAAGTGGTTGGCCTTTCCCTTCCTCTGAAAGATAGTGTACAATATTAATTCAAATACTAATCAGGCCTGACACTGGGCACCAGATCCCATCTGATCTTGAGAGCTAAGCAAGGCTGGTTTTGTTAATAGGGACATTGCCAGGAAATATCCAGCGCTGTGCAAGGTATTTAGAAGACGGTAGTAGCAAAACACTTCTGAATGGTCTGAAGAAATGCCAATGAAATTCATGGCATTGTAATAAATTGGCAGGCAACTTGGTGGTATATACTTGGTGGATTCCATCTGATCATATAATTCGTATAATATGCATCATGTCCATTTTTACCCAGTGGTTGCATCTTACTACATTCACTGGAATATAGTCCTTAGAATTCCTGCTTTTGTGCAGGGAAGAAGAGTAGATTTTTTCCAATGTTTATTTGAAAATCTGTTTGTCACCATAGTTTTTAAAGAGCAATGCGTAAATCTTGAGTACATTCTTGGTGAAATCTTCATTTACCTTTCTCATTTGGAATTAAAATGTTGACCTTTCCTGTTTACAAATAATTACCATTTGCACAGTATACTTAAGATTCAATTATTTTTAAAGAATGGGATATTATGAAATGTTAATGACTTGCATATGTTAAATGTCGCCATTATAATGGAAACTATTTGGGGACCTCAGTCTAAGTCAGATAGTAGGGAAAGCATTCTGTATCCTCCATCATCTTTGAATGGATAATCACATTTCCCTGTTATATATATTTGTATTCTATTAATTTTATATCTAAGGGCAGTAGGAGACAAGATGATGTAGACCCTTGATCAGATTACATATATGAAAAGGATATGTTAGAACATTGCACCAAATCTGAGCTGTAATTCCTTAAATGTTCTTATCTCCAAATACTTGGTCATATAAACAAGCCCTTTTATATAAGCTTTAAATGATATTAGTTTTAGAATCTGATAGTAATGTTTTTAGTAATGGCAGTGTATCATTGCCTTTTGGAAATCTACCTAAAATGTTACAGTATCAAGGGTATATGTATTTTCCTCAGGAATTACAAAGACATTGTCATCCTACCATACATCTTAGGACCTTAATATACATCACTGCTGGCCATTTTACATTCTTGCATGTGCAGTTTATCACTCTGTTGCATGAAATTAGGGCCCCCTGTTCTGAACTTGTGATGTGAGACACCGGTGAGAGCTGGTGTGATGTGAGACACCGATGAGAGCCAGAGTATTGTGAGATGCCTATATAATTCATCTCTCTGATCCTTCTTAAGTAGCTATTTCATAACTATTATAAAAGGATATATATTCCCTCTCTCTTATTCATTCTCTCTTATTAACCTTAACAGCTATTTTCATGCATATTGCCATTACACATATGAAGCATTATGTATTATGAACACTCCACCACAAAGCACGCCTAAAAGGTATCATGCAAGAGTGAATACCATTGAGAAGTTTTGAAATGCAACTCATGTTTTTAAAACTAATATGTCTTGGTAACCACAGATCTTTCTCTCTAGCTTTCTCTGATAGAGGCCATGGATGAAAATCTACGTTTAGCACAGGAATATCAAATGCTCCAGCTGTGTTATCTAAATTGCAAGAATGAACTTATGGACTTTTATGATCATAAAGTCCAAGCTGAAGTAGCATTAAGAGATCAACAACAGGTATGGTCATAATGTTTTCTGTTTTTTTATATATAAAGAAAAAGTTTTTCTACATGCATGCATATCCTTACCTGGATAGGTAATCGGACACTCAGGTGAGGGTGTATTCTAGCCAAATCCAGTAGCCAGGGCTAAACAATGATTATTGTCAAATATATCTGTGGTAGTTTCTTGTGTTGTTGAACGATAAGATTGTAATAGTGGGAAAATAATAATGGGAAAGGAAAAGTATTCCTGGTGATGATGTACATTTCCTTTTCCCATATGTATTGAGTTGGGCAGCTGGGTTTTAGAGTCCTTGTTAGTATCACAACCAAACATGAACAGCTGTCTGTTGGCATGAAAGAGTTGATGTGTATTAGTGACCTGACCTTATTCAACACATTTTGCATTCACTTTGCAGTTTGCAGCTGGGAAAAGAAATGAAGGCTGGGAATTAAATAACCTTTTTCTACTACTAACTTGTTCAATTCTCCTTGTTATTGGAGTAAGGGAGGACATATTCACACACTTTGATTTCCTTGTCTGTTTCAGCACCATATATACCTCTCTTCAATTGCTCTCTCCTTGGAGGTGTGTACTCCAGCCCAAATAACTTCCCACATGTCTAGTGATAGGGATTAGATTTGATTGCTGGAAGATGAATAAATCCCCAATTGTCTTGGGGTTCCCTTTCTATTAATAGCTGTGAAAAGATAGTAAACCCTATCAGTGAAATGACTGGAATACTTCTCTGCTAAGTACCATAGACTGCATCAATTACACCAATAAATCTTATGCTATAGCTGTAGTGTGTGTTGGTTGCCTTGAGTAGCATCTGGGTTAGAAAGGCGGGGTAGAAATGTTGCAAATAAATAAATAAATAAATAAATAAATAAATAAATAGTGTCCAGCACTTGCAGGTCTGCAACTATTCCCTTTTCTACAACAAGGCACTTTCTTTACTATTCATTCACTGCAAATCCCACCTCTCCCCTTCTGTTTGAGAGAAAGAAAATGGTAGCCCTGTGTCAGAAGTCCAGATTTCTTGCCATACATGTAGTTCACCCTTCATTCTGATGAAATGTGGAATACAGAGATCAATGGGGAGTGCTCAGTTATGATGATACTCATATCTAGTTACCTTGGATAGTTTGTACAACTCAGACTCAAGTAGATTAGGAAAGCAAGCGAAAATAAAACTTTCTTGACCATACATAATACAATTTATCAAAATGATAAGCTAAATTCTAAAAATCAAAGCAAGAATTTATTATCATCTTACACCTAGCGATATTACCCTATTAATAGATGAAATTACAACAAGCAGTAACCTATATAGAACTCATTTTTCTGGAAGACTGCATTATATGCTTGGCTTCATGGCCATTATGGCAGTGATCCAGAAGGCCACACAATGAGCTCTTTGAATGCAATTGGAGCCTCTAACTTTTCCTAATAGCATCCTCTCACACAGAGGTTATTTCAAAAGTAGCCTGTGATGCAGTGTGAGGAGGTGGAGATAGAAGGTGAAAGATTAGAATCCTCACCGTATGTAAGTGCAAACTTACATGTTTCTGAAATAGTTTTCTAGATCAAACACCATATAAAGATTTTGTTTGATTTGTTAGAATAGCAGTTCATAATGGGTCCAAGATGCCAAAGGGTTGTCAAAACCTTTAATAAGATCAGATTGTATGTGGATATCGCCACTGCATAACTGCAAAAAAATCAATAAAAATTGATTAGGAAAGAAACTAAAGATGTTGCAAACTAGAGATATAAAAGCCATCTAAACAGAACTTTTGCTAAAATTATCCTTTCTGTGTGCAGATTACAGTGCAATTCAAAGAACCTGGTGTGTGTGTGTGTGTGTGTGTATGACACTTAGATTATCTGTCATTTTGTATTACCTTCTCAATATATGGGTTGGAGAAAATATTAAGAATGATACTTTTAAAAATTTAAGGGAATATTTTTTTACAATTCCCATTGTAACTGTTGTATTTACCATGGAATACATAAACCACACTAACAACAAAACCAAACCCCTCCCCAAAAACCGTAGCCATGTAAGGATTTAAAGTGATTGGCTTAAAAATCTGCTTATGCTATCTAATACATCTATAAATACAAAATCAGCACATAAAGAAAATTTGTACTAATTACATTAGAACAAGAAAAGAAGTCGGTTATATACTGTTCCTGATAAAAGGTGTATTTTTCTTCAGATTTTTGCTAATAAGTGACTTACAGCAACAACAGAAAATCAATTTTGTGGGAGTATGGCTATAATGATTTTTTTTAGTTCCTATACTACAGATATACATCACAGTGACATGAATGTTCAGGGAGAAAATCACTCTCATGTTCACATTTCCTCAAATACACAGTTATCTTCCTTTGGGCAGAAAAAAGCCATGATCAAAATGAGCTTGCAAATTTTTATTGTAAGATTCAATGTTTGAACTCTGATTTATCCGTTTCAGGTCAAGGGTGGGTAATGTTTGCTCTCAAGGCTGCATATACCCCCTTGGTGTTTTTGGGGTCTTACTTCCTCCAAATCTCTCTCGAATGGCCCTTTTCTGGGCATAAAGGGGGATCAATTTGATTCTCTGGATTTGTACAAAAATGGAGATTTGCAATTTACATTGGTAAAGGTACTCACACATAGTTTGATATCAAAAGATATTTTTCTCTTTCTTCAATTTCATCCTATACTAAAGAATATGTATAACAACCCCCCCCCCCCCGTGTATTTGATGAAACAATAGAACTATTTAACAAACATGGCTCCATAACTCACATACCATAGCCTGTGATGTTTCTCATGTTTCCCTTCTTTTTTCCCCTTTTCTAATTGTTTATTTGTTTATTTGAGTTAATGTTTCATCTTTTTTTGAAAACAAAATAAAACTTATTTGTAACAGGAAAAAAGAAGAAAAAAGTATATTTTTCCCCAAAGAAGTTGTTAATTGACTCCCATTTTAGATTTGCTTCATTTCTGCTGACAGAGTAGTGGTTAGGAACTAACAACCTCATCACACAATGAATATTTAGTGTCCTAGGATGCTGCCATACTAGTTGAGTGATGGAATCCCATGGCATCCATCACATGATGTGGCCTCAATTCTGGTGGGGCTCCATTGCTCAATTGGGACGGCAGCATGGTAGGATGCTTTGCTGCCAACATGGAAGCCTCCCCATTTTCCATTTGGAACAACAGGGCTACCACGGGGATAAGTCACATGACAATGCTTCCCCACATGCAATGGCGAAGTGTGGGGTGGGGTGCCAGGATTGCCCCACTCCACCAGTGATTTTCCATGAAGGCTGGCAAATTGGCCCACGGAACCACATCAATGTGATGAGGTCCTTAATTTATCACACTTCTACACCCCACTTTTTTGAGATCCCACTAGATTCAACTACAATATAAAACTTGTTTGCATTTCAGGTAGGTGCATTTTTCATAAATAGTATAATCATTTGGTTACACTCACTTTCTTGGGACTGTCTTTGGTTTGTAAAGTAGTAGAGGAAGCATTCTCTTTGACACTTTCCCTTCCGTGTTGTTGACCATGATTGAATCACTGAGGATGAAGGAATTGTGGTCTTCCAATTTATTTTAGTGTGTCTTTTGGCAGATCATTACTGGCCTTGTTTTCATAACTAGTGCATGACAGAGCACTGGATGATGATGATGATGATGATGATGATAATAATAATAAAATTATTTATTTATTTGTAACCCACCCTATCTACCCTGGGGGACTCAGGATGAACTGGAAGGATTGGGGTATGAGCGTGGGGATAAATGTTTGTCTCACATTTTCATATGGAGGCACACATTAGGAAAAATAAATAAGTGAATGTCACAACAAATGTCACAGAGGATCTTATCATATTAGCCCGGTGAAGTGTCCCACTTCACCTGGATTTGCCACCAAAATGAGGGGTAGCTGGGAAAATCCATTGCTCACACACTGCTCACACACTCTTTCACCAACTCTTTCACCATCACATGAGGGAAGTGTTGCCCTCCTGGCAAGGCCCCACGCTAGCTCCATTGAGAAGCCTCCCATGTTGAGAGGGAAATGTCATATGACACTTTCCCTCCAGTGGAGGAGGGACTTCTACAGGAAGTTCCCTTACAGCATGATGGGTGCCAGGCCCATCCATCCTCCAGCTGTGGTGGTAGCATCATAGGACACTTCCAAAGGTAAATGTGATGAGGTCATAAGAGAGAGGAAACACAGGCAAAAGGATGTCAGAAGAAATTGTACAACAAGAAAGGCTGGAAAAATAGTGAGACCGGAGAACAAAATAATATTGGATGAAAGACTACAAATACAATCTTAATAGAAATTATTATATCCATTCTCGTTATGGCATCCACATTATATGAATTCTAAAATTATTTGTTTGCTGCCTCTACTTCAGCTTTTTCAGAGTGTTGGACATATTGTTAAAATGAAACATATGTAGGGTCAATTCATGCTGAATAGTTATTAGAAACCATGATAACAAAAGTCATTACACTGCAGTTCAGTTTTGATAGTAAAATTTCTGCAACATTATCACAAATCCTCATGCATTAGTGCAATGATCCTTAGTATAGTTTCATATTAGAATCAAAAGACTGCACTGGCATGCGTGATACCAAAAGTCTTGTACTTTGAAAGAACCTCTTCAGCTTAGGCATATAACCCCGTTTTGCTTTCTTTGCACTGAACAATCCTTATTCGGTGCTTCCTTATTAAATCTTAGGTGTTATCCTCTATCTTCTTCTTTTTAATAAATGTATTTATGTAACAGGTCAGCCAGAAGGAATACAAAGCTATCTGAAAATACTAGAAATTGCTTGAAATATCCAGCGTTCTCTTCTAATAAATACAAGTTCCTTGTTGGTTGATAGAAGACGCTGAATTAATTTTTAAAGCACAATGTATTGCTTAATTTCACAGAAAATGAAGTATCTGCTTAGAAGGAGTTGTTCAAGGTCCTGTATTTTACACACT